GGAAACTCCGCGGAGCTCGCATGGCACCACCTCAAGTGCCTTTACCAAGCAAACGACAGCGTGACACAAAGCAGACTCATGCAACAGCTGACAACAATACAGATGAAGACCGGGGAAAAGGCGATGCAGTATATGAGTCGCTGCCAGACCCTCCGCGACCGCCTGCTTCGGTGCGGAGGAACGATCACTGAAGAAAGCTTCGTGACACTTGTCCTCGCCGGGCTCGGGCCAGAATGGAGAACCACACGATCGCTTCTTCGCGCCCACGGAAGGATCTCGGAGATGCACCTCTGCGCCGAGCTTCACGCTGAACAACAGGAGATGGATCTGTTCGAGGAAAGACAACCAAGGAGGCAACAGCAGTTAGTCTTCTACACTCAAAGAAGAAATGACATAAACTACAACCGACGCAGCAAGCAAGATCAACGCGACAACCGAGGACTCACCATCGTGCCGCCGTTCTGCCACAACTGCCAGACTTCCGGACACTCCAAAGTCAACTGCAACCGCCCTCGCGTTTACCGTGCAGCAGACCCACAAGTTGCTTCCACTCAAGCAAGTTCCCCAAGGCGCTCTTCAACATCTGCACAAGGGACACCAAATATCATCAACTGCATGGTACACATCGACAACTGCGCACCCGGATCACCACCCACTTACGCACCAGACGAAGAGGAATTCCCGCCGCCGCGCTCACAAGGACTTCAGGTCAACCCGACATACGCTGCGGTCGCCAACGCCGAACCCACCGGGCGAAACACCTGGTTCTTGGACAGCTGCTGCGGTCAACACATGTGCTCCTCGGGACGCTTCGTGCAACAGGAGAAACGCCTCAACCGCGACGTCATCATCACCGTCGCCAACAACGAAAACCTGAAAACAAACAGACAGGGCGTGGTTCAGTTACAATCCATGGAGACGAATGTCATACTTCAACTCAACAAGGTGCTCATTGTCGACAATCTGGGATACAACCTACTAAGCGTAAGCCAACTAATGGCCAAGGGGATTCACCTGGAGTGCGACTCTTACTCCAACGAGTTCCGGCTTTACCACGGGAAGGGCGGCCTCTTCATCGGTCGTGCCCTCCTGAAGTCCGGCGTCTTCGTGTTGGACTTCGTCCCCGACCGCGGAACTGCCGACAGCGATGGCATCGTATCGTTCGCCGCCTGGACTCACCCGCCGGATCTTGACCCCGACTTCGACAGTGACGGCTTCTGGCACTCCAACACCATACCTGCAGCAGAGAGAACACGAGCATTAGCAGTTATCAGACAAGAAAGACAAGTACCCGCAAGTGTCCCAACAAAACCATCACCTGCAGTATCGGCAGCAGGACCCAGCCGAGTACCACCACCATCAACACGAGGACCGCCAACGGAAGCAGACCAACTTATGCCCGCCACACGAGAAGCTTGTCGAAGTCCCGCCTCAGTCGTCGCGTTCTTCTCCAACGCCGACATCTACCACCGCTCGCCCGGCCACCGCGCTCCCGACGACATCTGGCACCAACGTCTCGGACATCCTGCAAACAGCACGATACTTCAAACAATCCAAGCAGAGGTGTTAGAACGCAACGCCCTTCTGACGACGAACGGCCAGGAACTCCGACGACCACGCGCACGGTGCTTCACATGCCCCGAAGCAGATCTTCCTCATCAACCTTTCCCAGCCCATCACAATCCAAGCGCACCCACTTACGCTCCGATGGAAAAGGTCTACAGCGATATTCTAAACATGCCTCGAGACGACACCGAAGCCGACTTCAACTACGTCATCACGTTCATCGACGCAGCAACCAGATACGTCTGGCACTTCAATCTCAAAACGCGCGATCAAGCCTTCGAGGCCTTCACCACATGGCTTCCAATCGCCGAACGAGAGTCAGGAACCAAACTCAAGAGTTTCCAGACAGACGGTGCACTGGAATACCAGTCACAACGCTTCAGGACCTATCTCGCGGAAAGGGGAATCCGACGCCTGGTGTCTCTGCCCTATGCTCACCAGCAGCAGGGGGTAGCAGAACGCATGAACCGGACCTTGCAGACGACGATGCGAAAACTGCTTCTGGGGATGAGGCTGCCCAACGCACTATGGCCAGACGCGATGACACATGCTGTTCACCTGCACAACCTGCTGTCCTCGTCATCACTTCCCAACAACGCATCGCCGCACCTGTTGTGGACAAGAAAAAGGGGCAGCACAAAATTACTCCGCGTTTTCGGCTGCATGGTACAGTACAGACCCCACACAGCCCGAGCAGGACGCTTCTCACAAAGAGCTCGATGGGGACTACACCTCGGCATCGCAAAACATTTTCACGCGTGGAAAATTCTCGACATACAAGACAAAAACACGGTGGCATCACGCGATGTTATCTTCTACGAACGACTGACGCTGCAGCATTACCTGGACAACCTTGCCAACACACAAGACCCCACCGACGGCTTCGCGGGCCTTCGCTCCTTCGCTGACCACACTGCCGAGGCTGACGCAGCAGAAGAAGACGTACCTGGAGCCTCGGAAGCTGCCGGACCACTCCCATTCTGTTCCGTACCTGTTCCACTCGATGAAGATAATCCCCTCGATAGCAACAACCTCGACACCTTTTACCACTTCGCCGACCAAGGTTACGTTACACCTCACCCCGTCGACACGAATATTTCGGAACGCATCGGCCCCAATTTCTTACCTGACCCCGAAGACGGTGACGAAGCAGCTTATTCCGGGAATGAAAATTCCCCTCGACACACGCCCACGGGACTCCAGATTCTAGGCCACTGGGTCTCCGTCCAGAATCCGCCGCCGCCTTCTCCGCGAGAGCCTTCAACGTTGTCGCAGGCTCTGGGGGGGGAACATAAGGCAAGATGGAAGGAAGCAATGGAAAAGGAGTTAAAAGCTCTGCAAGACCGAGAAACATGGAAACTGGTACCTGCAACGAGCATCAACGGAAAAAACGTTCTCTCGGGGAAATGGGTGTACCGCATCAAGACCAACTCAGACGGTTCCATCGAACGATTCAAAGCTCGATGGGTCGTACGAGGCTTCGACCAACGATACGGAGCCGACTACACAGAAACCTTCGCTCCAGTCTCCCGTCACACCTCATTACGCATCCTACTCGCCGTCGCGGCCACGAAAAAACTGCCACTACGCCAAATCGATGTCGCGAATGCATTCCTATACGCACCTGTGGACGCTGAGATCTTCGTCGAACAACCCCACGGATTCATCAACGATCCCACGAAAATATGCCGACTGACAAAATCCCTATACGGGATCAAGCAAGCCCCGCGGCTCTGGCAGCAGCATCTCCACGGCCGTCTCGCAAAGATCGGCTTCCTACAATTACCGCATGACCAAGGGATGTACCGACTGCAGAAGGGAAGAGATTATGTTCTGCTCATCGTCTACGTCGACGACCTGCTCTACATCGGCTCCACTATCGACATCGCCACCTGGTTCGAAGGGGAGCTGAAAGAAGATTTAACTCTCACGGTGTCCGACGAAGTTACCCAGTACCTAGGACTGAACATCGTCGAAGACGACACGGCGTTCTACCTACACGCTGGAAAGTACTCAAGCACCGTCGCGAAGAAATTCGGTCTAGCACCGACTGCGGTCCCAACTCCCTACCGCTACGGGAACAACAGTAGCGCCTCCACAAAACTCCCCGCGAAACAAATCCAGGAGTATCAACAGAAGCTCGGCTGCCTACTATTCGCAGCAGTAACCTGCCGACCCGACCTATCCTATAGTGCGAGTCAGCTGGCGACACATCTGAAGCAGCCGCAACAAGAAGATCTCGAAGAACTCAATCGAGCACTACTCTACTTCGTCTCCACGCCGACGATCGGGCTCACCTACAGCAAGGCAACAACACCGTCCGTACAACTACTCGGATACGTCGACGCCGACCACGCGGGAGACAGCGAAAATCGACGGTCTAGGACGGGCTACATCTACCGACTAGAACCTATCGGAACTATCTCCTGGCAGTCGAGCAAGCAGGAGTTAATCGCACTATCCTCGGCTGAAGCAGAGTATATCGCCCTTTGTACTGCGACCAAGGAAGGACTCTACCTACGAGAGTTACTCGAAGAAGCGAAGATCGCGACCCTGCCCGCCTTCTCACTCCTCTGCGACAACCAATCTGCAATCAAAATCGCGAACAAGGACGGCTTCGCCAACCGAACCAAGCACATCGCCCTGCGGTACTTCTTCGTCAAGGATGAAATCGCGAAGGGGAGACTTCAACTCAGTTACTGCCCGACGACAGAAATGGCCGCAGATTATCTGACGAAGAAATTGGCGAAAGCAAAATTCGACTACTGCATGCTCCTAACCGGGCAAACAAACGTCACCGGATCTGAACACTCCAGCACTCCAGAAACGAAGGGGAGTGTTGGAAATATCTCAAGGACTTAAGCGTTTCTGAAGTGTAAACACTGTACTCGAGGAAGATTACAGGGGAGCACGCGAGTCAACGGAGGTTACACGAGGGGGCGGACAAAGAATGCGAAAGGACTCGAAAGGTCGCAACTGGAGGTTGCGACTGACCGTTACAACATCACGGATGGTAACCGAAGCGGCAATCGAGTCGCTGTGCGACTCGATAAACCGCTCCTGTAACTGTATTCTACAACTGCTTTCTTATCTTCTATATATTGCTGTATGCTTGTCTCTTTAATCAATCACTTGTTCTCACATACTAGTACAAGGGTTCAACTGCCTCAACTTCCGCTGCACTACTCCAAGTCTCAAGTCTTTACAGCTGGGACTTAATCTCTGCAAAAGATCCTAAGGGCTTTTCTCAGCCCAACAATGGAAAACATGAACACATTTGTTTTCCATTATTGTCTATTTTTAAGTATAGCATTATACGTAATTATAATATGACACTTTCATCCAGCTATTTACATAGTCAAGCTAATGAATCCATATAATTAAAATGAATGATTCCTACTATATTGGTCACGAATCTCCATCTTTTACTTCAATATAATAGTTTTTTTCACAAATTTGTTAAGTAAACTTGAAAAAAAATCTCGTCCAATTGATCGTAATAGGTTGCTCCACAACCCAAAAAAAAGTACGTCCAAAATGCCGACGCGAAAGACGTCATCAACCATAACAAAGGATTTTCTCTAAAGCTATGCACACAATAAGATTTGCAAATATATGATACACTGAATCAGGATAACTGAAGCTATGTGCGGAGGGGAGGCGACACGAGGATGACCCCATCTCCCCTCACGAAGATGAAGGGAATGTTGCGCCTTGATGTCTGCACGTGGTGGGGTGGGATGGTGGGAATGATGGGGAAAATAGGAAATGGGTGTGAGTCGCACAAGAGAGGCGACATCCGAGTGGCCCCATCGCCTCTCACAACATTTAAGGGAATGTTACCGCCTTCATGTTTGCCTTGATGGGAGGGCAGTGCGGAAGATTGGAACCGGGGATGGAAAGGACAGGAGAAGTGGGGAGGGGAAGAAGGGGGTAAGAAGCATGTGCAATGCAAATCACTCCAGGCGACACCAGAACGACCCAACAGCCTCCCATAGAAACGTGCTGAATCATATGTCTCAATGCCTGTACCTGGTCAGGGGAGAGAAGTGGAAGAGGGGAAACAAGGGGGCGATGGGAGTATGGCAGGTGGACGGGATGCAGCGAAAGGGGGGGTCACCAGAAGGACCCTCATAATAGGGAAGGGGATGCTAGCACCTTGCTGCCCGCATGCAGCCTGATGTTTGCAAGGGGTGGGTGGACCGAGGGAGGGTGTTGGGGGGCGTGGGACGACGTAGGTGGGAAGAGAGACGAGGGGATGGGCGTGGGGAGGGGGGAGGGGGGGGGGAGTTGAACGGGTGGGAGTGGCGGAGGCGGCACGACATGACCCCATCGCCCCTCACCGTGGGGAAGGGCATGTTCCACGCTGACGTCTGCAAGGGGTGGGGCGTGGGAAGTGGTGACGGAGATGCGAGAGGGATGGGATGGTTGGGGGTGCGCGCATGTGAGAGTGAGAGATTCAGGTGAAGAGACTTGATTCAGGTGAAGAGACTTGATTCAAGAGACTTGATTCAGGTGAAGAGACTTGATTCAGGTGAAGAGACTTGATTCAGGTGAAGAGACTTGATTCAGGTGAAGAGACTTGATTCAGGTGAAGAGACTTGATAAGAGGGAAAAACAGTCATGTTCAGGGGCATGAGCGGATGAGAGACGAGGTAAAGCAGACACAGTCCTCGGAGATGCAGGCGGGAGCAGAAGTATACGCAAAGGGAAGTCGACACGGAATACAACTGGATGCAACAGCAACGGAGGTCAGCGGCAGTGGCAGCAGCAACAACCGCAAGGGCTGGATCATATCAGTGTGAAAAGCATATCAAAGCCCCAAACCTTAACTCTCTTTTCATACCTTAACGATCTCCTCGTATGTCTCATCATCTATCTCCACCGTGGTAACCACCTCCTCCGCCTCGCCCAGTATCATGTTCAGGTGCTGGTCGTACGCCTGGCAGGTGGGGTGGGGGGGGGGCAGAAAGGGAGTAGGGATGTAAGTCAGGGAGCAGGGGTTGCACGTACTGCCATAACCACTGCCTCCGCCTTGCCTAGTATCATGTTCAGGTGCTGGTCGTACGCCTGGCAGTGGGGCATGGGAAGGGGAGACGGGGCGAGAAATGGAGAAGGGATGTGTGTCAGGACCGGGGGGTGGGGGGGGAGGGGAAGGAGATGCGTCTCTCTTCTACAGTGGTAACCAACTCCTCCGCCTCTCCTACCATTATGTTCAAATGCTGGGCGTAAGCCTGGCAGAGGGGGAGGTGCAGTGAGGGAAAGGGGGAAGAGGGGGAGGAGGGAGGAGAGGGAGGGAGAGGGGGAAGAAGGGGGGAGAGGGAGGGAGAGCTGAATGGAAAGGATGTGGGTGTGTCTCGGGGGGGGAAGGGCTGGAGTGCATGGTTGTGGCGCTACAGTGGTAACCACCTCCTCCCCTTCTGCTAGTGTCTGTGATCGGATGCTAAAAGAAGGGAGAAAGGGGAAAGGGACATGTGCCGGGAAGGGGGGGGGGTGAGAGCGGGGGGGCGGGAGGGAGACGCTGGTATCATGTGTGTCACTCTTCTACAGTGGTAACCAGATCCTCCGCCTCTCCTAGTATCATGTTCAGATGCTGGTCATACGCCTGACAGGGTACGGTGGAGGGGGGAGAGGATTTGAGGCCGGGAGGGGGGAGAATGGAAAGGGGAGGGAGGAGAATGGGAAGGGGAGGGGGGAGAATGGAAAGGGAGGGGGGAGAATGGAAAGGGGAGGGGGGTGAATGGAAAGGGGAGGGGAGAAGGAAAGGGAGAGATACAGCATTTCTGCAAGTCCGTCGTCTATCTCCACAGTCGTAACCACCTCCTCCGCTTCTCCCAGTATCATGGTCAGGTGCTGGTCGTATGCCTGACGGTAAAATGAGTTGCGAGGCAGCGGTTCTCAGTTCGAGAAGGAAAGGGAGTGGGAGATGGGAGTGGGGATGGGAGTGGGGATGGGAGTGGGGATGGGAGCTATGTTGGAAAAAACGCGTTTCGCGTTTAGTACGCTAGCATATATACACAAAACGCTAGGGGTAAGGGGTTATGGTACGCAGGAAAAACGGTGGCCCGGGCAGCAAAAAAAACTTTCCCGGGCAGGTGGAAAATTTGGGTAAGAGGCGGGAATTGGGGGGGGGGGTACAAAGCACCCCAAATCCCCATCCCCATTTTATTGATAGGCAAATTTCATACATCATAATACCCGCGTATTACTACTACCCTCCCCAATACTCTAACCTCCTATGCACCCCCCTTCCACAACATCTCCCCCTGCAGCCCCCTTCCACTACTCTCCCCCCCCCCCCCCTTTTGCAGTCCCCCTCCAATACTCCACCCCATTCCCCACCTCCTCCTCCCCCCGGTCCGTCAGCGCTACTCGTACTCATCGGCAAGCACAGCATCCTCTCCCTCCACTTCGTCCCCCTCCTCCTGCTCCGTGTACCCCTCCGGCATAAGGGGCTCCTCAATAATCCCGCTTACCACCCCCTGCCCCTCCGTGACCGAGTGCCAGTTGTGCACAAATTTCCAGTTGTGCGCAACGTACACGAGGTCGTTGAGCTTCTCTGACCCCAAGCGGTTTCGCTTGGCCGTGTGGACCGACTACCACACGGCCCAGTTGCGCTCGCATGCTGCCGCCGACGCGGGCTGTGTGAGGACGCGGCACGCAATCGTGGCGAGCTCGGGAAAGTCCGTGCCGTGCCAGTTCCACCACTGCACGGCACTCTGCCTCCCCTCCTTCACAGCCTCGCGGTCCGCAATGGCAACAGGGAGGCCAAAGCTCCCTTGCAGGTTCAGGAAGGCCGTGAGGCCTTCTTGAAGCACAAGGGAGGCACGGCGCTCCTCGCCATCCCTGCGGGTGATGGTGAGGTGGTCGTAGTGGCGAGAGATGTACGACTTGAAGACGCGGGTACACTCGATGTTGGTGAGAAAAATGCCCTCCTCTTGGTTGGCCGGATTTAGGATCCGGCCAACCACGTGCATGGGCAGGCGAGCCCCCCATCCCACCGATTTTTCACAATTTTATTCACCTCCGCCACCTCTCCCCTTGTGAGCTTCCCCTTCGTATGCTCGTCGAGGAAATCCGAGACGTCCTCGGTGAGCTGGAGCATGGTGTCGTACATGCGGCCCATCATGCCCTTTGCCGTAGCATCGGTGGCTCGCATGACGATGAAGGGGAACTCCAGCAGCTTGATGAAAAACTCCGCCAGCTGCCACCACAAGGCGTCCATCACTTGTGCCTTGAACGTCTCACCACCCACCTTCCTCCCCCCCACCGCCCACCCTCTCCACTCCTCGCTCAGGACCATCTGAACAAGGCTGAGCCGAACGTCGCACAGTCGGGACACAGCGATAAACTGTGTCCCGAACCGCGTGCCCGCCGGCTTGAGGACCTGCCGCCCCTTGCCGCCGTTGACGTGTTTGCTCCTCAGATAGCCACGGGTGAAGTGGTGGGCGCACACGAAATTGATCATGTCAGACGCCGTGTCCACCACGTTCTTCGCCCACGTCATCTTCCCGACATCTTCCATGAGAAGGTCGAGAACGTGGGTGGCGCAAGGGACGGTCTCGATGTGCGGGAATTCCGCCACGAGCTCCCGGCATGCCGCGCATAGTTTGAGCCGCCATCCATGCAAAGGGCCACGACGTTCTCGGGCCCGACCCTCCTCAGGATCGGGCGGAGGAGGCTCGCGATGTAGCCGCCCGTCTTCGACTCCATTCTCGTGTCAATCGACTCGGTGAAAACGGCTCCCGAGTCGTTGATGAGCATAATATTTGCTTGGGGGCGTCCGCACCCGTCGGTCATCATGTCCGACGCGATGGTGACCCCGTCGCGGCGCCAGCTTGCGGCAATCGGCGCCAAGGCCGCCGCGATGCGCTTGCGGCACTTCTGCAAGCCCGCCCCTCCGATGTAACGCCGCTTCGGAGGAACGTACGTCGCGCCCGCGCGAGCGATGCAGCTGACGGCGTTCCGCCAAAGAGGGTGGTCTGCGTGATGCTCGGGAAGTCGAAGGCCGGCGAAGAGCAGGCAAAGCGCTTCGTGTGCCGCCACCTTCGCGCAGGTCCCTTCGTCGCCGAAGAAGTCGGTGATGCGGGACCTCTTCCCTTCGCCATCGCGAGCAGCGCCGCTCACCGCACCGAGTGCGGCCGCCTCCGCCGCGCGCTTTCGTTCGCACGCCTGCAGCTTCGAAATGTACGGCGTCTTCACGGCGTCACGGGCAGACTTGGGAGCCGAGGGGCAGAGCCGCACTTCGCGACGTCTCATGCCGGACCAGCTGGTGATGTGTTGAGCGCAACGGTACATGCCGCCGACGATCTTGAACTCACAGTACTTGCACATCTTCGTCGCGCTATCGCTTGAGTCGTCAACTGGGACGTTGAAGTGGCGGAACACAACATGCGTGCTGTCGGGGCAAAAGAGTGTGCTGCTAGTAGAAGCCTCCGCGGAAACAGGGGCTGCCGCAGCTGAAGGGGAAGACGGAGTGGGTCTAGGCGTGGAGGCCATGCTGGAGACGGAAGGGGAAGCTAGAGAAGAGAATGAGTTCGAAATGCTAGAATGACTGCTCTTTATGCTTGGAAAGCGTACTCTGTTTGTTTGGGGAAAAGGGAGTTGGACATTGGGTTGAGAGAGGTGTGGGAATGACGGGGTGGAGTGGGGTGGTTAGCGGTGTGATAGGGGGTTTGGTGCGCTTCGGCTTTGAAATTCGAAATTTGATGTTGATTTCGCGATGTGCGAAACCCCCGAATAGTTTCGCCCTGTCGCAAACTGTCGCGGAAATTTTGGTTATTTTTTCGGTCAGCCTGTGCGTATTTTGGCGAATCTACACCCAAAACGCAGCGTACGAATTTTGCTCACGTATAAACGCAAAACGCAAACTGAAATTTGTGTTTTTTCCAACATAGGATGGGAGCGGGGATGGGAGTGGGGATGGGAGTGGGGATGGGAGTGGGGATGGGAGTGGGGATGGGAGTGGGGATGGGAGTGGGGGGTTGGGTCAAGAGACGATGGGGACTATAGGTTTGGGCAGCAGGCGATATGACTTTTGAGTCGACTCAGTAGCATGCTGGTTGGGGCAGGGCGAGCAGGGCACAGGGGCGACCCTTGAGTCGAGTCGACTCAAAAGTCACCCTGGTCGCTTCAAGTCAAGGGCCCTGCGGCTGGTCTCATGTTCAGGCGCCGGTCAATGCCCGGGGCGTGAGTGGAGTGTAGCGGAGAGAGGCAAGGGCAAGGGCAAGGGCAAGGGCAAGGGCAAGGGCAAGGGCAAGGGCAAGGGCAAGGGCACGGGCAAGGGCAAGGGCAAGGGCAAGGGCAAGGGCAAGGGCAAGGGCAAGGGCAAGGGCAAGGGCAAGGGCAAGGGCAAGGGCAAGGGCAAGGGCAAGGGCAAGGGCAAGGGCACGGGCAAGGGCAAGGGCAAGGGCAAGGGCAAGGGCAATGGCAAGGGCAAGGGCAAGGGCAAGGGCAAGGGCAAGGGCAAGGGCAAGGGCAAGGGCAAGGGCAAGGGCAAGGGCAAGGGCAAGGGCAAGGGCAAGGGCAAGGGCAAGGGCAAGGGCAAGGGCAAGGGCGTATTGAAAGGACGCGAGTTTGGAGGGGCAGGGCAGGGAAGGAGGGGTTCAGTTCAGGGGGGTAACGGGCGGGGGAAGGAGGGGAGAGGGCAGGAGGGGGAGAGGGGTGAGATGTGCACATGCGCTTGGATGCGACGGACGTCAAAGGCTGTCCATCCGGAATGTGCGGGCGGGCAACCAGAAACGCCTGGCGCGGGGTTACAAGCTTGAATCTCGCATTCCGGGACAGCCCAGAGGATCACCCTCTGCCGCGACTCTCGGCATTCGATCGAGAATCGTGTGAAGCCGGGTGCGACTTTCAGACCACCGAGAGGGGCACTCGTCATAGGAAAAGCTCCAGCTAATGTGGAACCTAACGCGTGGCGTGAACTCAATGTCGAGTGTGTCGCGAAAGGGAGTGTGTCGAGTCGAGAGACAGCCACGTATCTCTCGAGGCGACTCACAAGTAACCTCGTATCTGCAGCGTTAAGTGACATTCAGTGGACTACGTTTCTCGCCCGCGTGACGGCGGCAACAGTATATCTGCAAGCACACGTACGTGCAGTCGCCCGCGTATCTCCCGCTCGCCGCGCAGCTTGACGTAGATGCGCTCGTCGAGGCTCAATCGAATCAGATCCAGCGGCTCCTTCACCGTCACGTCCTCCGTCGCCGTCGCCGCCATCGCCGCTGCTCCTGATGCTGCTGCTGCTGCTGCTCCTGCTGCTGCTGCTGCTGCCGCTGCTGCCGCTCCTGTTGCTGCCGCTGCTGCTGCCCCTGCTGCTGCTCCTGCTCACGCTTTGAATGACGCTACTCGCTTCGCTGCTCGCGCCTTGAAAAACGCAGCGCGTTTCACGCCTCGCTACTGTCTCTGCTCCACTGCTCACTATTCGAGTCCGTTCTGACGCTGATTACCACGCACACTTGTTGAAGTTGAAGCAGCGTCTGTGTGTGTGAAACGGGGGAGGAGGAAATAGAGGTGGAGGCAGTGCGTGGGAGGAAAGGCAAGGTCAGGAGGAGCAAGAATACCCGCTACAAAACGCAACGCCCAAACAAAGGGGGGAATCATGGTACATAACTGTGAATCGTGGGTCGGTATGCTCGGGGAAAATATGCTAGAAATAACAAGCACACATGCGGTAGTGCCCTTTCCAAGAGAAAACGAAGACACGACCTGCAAATAGAGAAACAACTAGAAAACATTATATGACCATGGACACTTGTCGGAATGCTACCACGATATCATGATTTTATGTGTTTTACGCCTTTTTTTCAGGGTGTTTGCTTGAAACGTAATCCCCATTATTTAGCACTCACCGTATCTGAACCCTCATGGGTTCTGTATCCAGGTATGGGTGTTAAATAAAATCGGATTTGATGAGCACCTGTTTTTGCCTAATATATCACCCTCTGACTATACCTGCCATTCTATCTTAGGCGCAATAGGAAGTTTCGAGGGTATCTAATACCGTAGGACCAAATACAGCACACATACCGTCAAGGGGGAGAGATTTTCTGAATCCCGAAAATCAGCATTCTTGTTGGCAAGCGTGACATGGTTTTGCAGTAGTAGCAGAAATATTCAATATTGCCGCAGCAGCAGCGACTCGTCCAAATGTTTTCAGAAACGTACATCTCCAATTTTCGTCTATTTCCCCCAGTTTCGACTGTGTGTTGGCACTTTTGCTGACCAGGATGCCTTTTTCCTGTCAAACCAGCTCAAGTTGCTGACGTGCGACAGATCTCGTCGCGCGGGGAACAGTCTCGCCTCGTGAACAGAAGACGAGTGATTTCCGTAATTTCCGAGAATGTACGTGGCTCTTCTGTACAGGTCCTTTCTGTCAACTTATACATATTATCTATGTAGAAGTTATAGGCTAGACTGAGGTATGCTTCTAGTGAGTACAACCAACTAGTATTTGTTCTAGGTTTCCACCTCTAGTAATCATTCGTTTCTACGTTAACATGGTATCACGCTTAGGTTAGGATCCCCCCGCCTACCGCTTCCGCCCGTCGCGCCTCCTAGGCCCCGTCGCGCCCCCTAGGCCCCGTCGCGCCCCCCCTGGGCCCCGTCGCGCTCGTTAGGCCCCGTCGCGCCCCCCCTGGGCCCCGTCGTGCCCGCTGGGCCCCGTCGCGCCTCCTAGGCCCCGTCGCGCTCCCCCTGGGCCCCGTCGCGCCCACTGGGTCCCGTCGCGACCCCTAGGCCCTAACGCGCCCCCGCTGGGCCCCGTTGCGCCTCCTAGGCCCCGTCGCGCCCCCCATGGGCCCCGTCGAGCCCGCTGAGCCCCGTCGTGCCTCCTAGGCATCGTCGCGCCTCCTAAGCCCCGTCGCGTCCCCCCCCTCTGGGCCCCGTCGCGCCCGTTCGGCCCCGTCGCGCCCCTCCTAGGCCCCGTCGCGCCCGCTGGGCCCCTTCGCGCTTCCTAGGCCCCGTCGCGCCTGCTAGGCCCCGTCGCGCCCCCCCTGGGCCCCGTCGCGCCCGTTAGGCCCCGTCGCGGCCCCCCTGGGCCCCGTCGTGCCCGCTGGTCCCCGTCGCGCCTCCTCGGCCCCGTCGCGCCCCCCCTGGGCCCCGTCGTGCCCGCTGGGCCCCGTCGCGCCCCTTAGGCCCCGTCGCGCCCGCTGGCCCCTGTCGCGCCTGCTGTTAGCGCTCGCCCGCCTGGCCTCCTCCTAGTGCCGCTCGGCCTCCTCCTAGTGCCGCCCGGCCTCCTCCTAGTGCCGCCCGGCCTCCTCCTAGTGCCGCCCGGCCCCTTCCTAGCGCCGCCCGCCTCTCCTCAGCGCTGCCCGGCCCCTCCTCGTGCCCGACCGGCCCCAGCAGCACCAGCCTGGCCCCTCCCAGCACCAGCCCGGCCCTAGAGCACCTGCCCGCCTCCCCTGCTCGGCCTGCCGTGTCCTCTCGGGCCCTGTGTCTTCTGCTTGCCTGCGCTGGGACGCCTAGCTGCTGCCCTACTGGAGAGTGCTGCCGCCGTGTCCCCGCGCCGCTGTGCTCCTGTGCCGCTGAGGAGCTGTGCTGCTGTGCCGCTGTGTCGCTGAGGAGCTGTGCCGCTGACCCTGCACGATGGCTGACTTTGTGCTCCGCCTGGACGCTGAGGGCCACGCGGTTGACTTCGCCGCCTGGCTCTCCGATCTTCGCCGCCAGCTTACAGGTCAGCGCCAGGATGGCCACTCTCTGGTTGTCCATGCTGATGGCTTGCTCCCCCGTCCCCCTGCACCTACTCCCCTCCCTGCTGACCCCTCCTCTGATGACCGTGAGGCTTTCTCTACTGCTGCGCTAGCCTGTGCGGTCTGGGACTCACGCGATGCAGTAGCTCAGGTTGCTATTAGTCACGCCCTCCCTGTGTCTGAGCGCTCGCGTTTTGCTACTGTTGAAACGGCCAAAGCTTATTTAGACGCCGTTATTGCTCGCTATTCCACCCCTGCCTCCGCTTCTGCTGGCCGCTTGCTCTTTCCGATGCTGTTCCCAGACCTGGCTGCCTTCCCTACTGTCGCAGATTTTGCCACTCATTTGCGTGCCCTAGAGACTCGCTATCGCACTGCCAGCACTGCTGCCCAGCTCACTGCGCTCCCCCCTCCTTTCTGCATGACGCTCTATTTTATCGCTATGCGCCTGCCAGACCGCCTCGCTAGTGCTCGCGACCACTTTCTTAGCCAGCACCCGGGTGACCTCACCCTGACCGCCTTTGTCGACACCCTCACTGAGATCGAGACTCGCCAGCGCACTATCGCTCAGTCGAGCGGTGCGCCGGCAGTCTCTATCTTTCACGGTTGTGCCCCATCCCCGTGCACGTTCACTGACGTTTCGGCTGCGGTCGCCACGGCGACCCCTCTTACCGAGACGGCTGCTGCTGTCCACCCGCAGCAGCGCTCGCGTCGCGGTGGCCGTGGCCGCCAGGGAGGTAGGGGTGGTGACGCAGGTGGTAGTGGTCGTGGTGGTGGTGACGGTAGTCCGCCTGAGGGGACTACCACCGGTGGGCAGGAGCAGCAGTCCCAGCAGCAGCAGGACCAGCCCCAGCCGCAGCCGCCGTCCCAGCAGCACCCGCCGCAGCCGTGGGCTCGTCTCCCGCCTGGTTGGCCCGGCACCTCCGGAGGCGGTGGCCGTGGTGGCGGCCCGCGCAGCTTGGCGTCTACCAGCGGCTCCAGTGCTGTGACCTGCCAGTACCAGCTTCAGACCGGGCCTCTCCGCGGCACTCTGTGCCGCCGCCCGCACCCGACCGCCCACTGTTTCCGCCGCCTCGACGATCTTTTTCGTCGTCGCTTTGGCCCGGCCCCGGACCTCCCTGACTGGCACAGCCTGCTCCGCCAGGGCGTGCCGATCTTTGAGTTAGACATGGATCAGATAGGTGCTGCTTTGCATGCTTTGTATGCTGACGCTTCTAGTGTTGATGGATCTTACTACCATGTGTACTCTAGTTTAGGTGTTTCACCCTTGTGTAGCTTAGCTTCCCCTGCTGCGACAGGCGTAGGACTGCCTAGGTTGCCTAGTCTAGTCGCTGCACCGGCTCCGTCCGCGGCCTCCGCCACTGCGTCGCTGTCCTTCACTCTCGACTCTGGTGCTTCTGCCTGCTTCTTCCGCGACCGTTCCACGCTCACGCCGCTTGCTGCACCTGCTGTTGTCTCTCTCGCTGACCCCTCTGCGGGTCCGGTCGTCGCGCGCAGTTCTACGTCCCTTCCCTGTCCGGCAGTTCCCTCGGGCTCCCTTACTGGCCTCCACGTTCCCTCGTTCTCCAGGAACCTGGTTGGTGTCGGCTGTCTCCAGGACCTCGGCGTCACCATCACGTTCCCCGGGCACGAGCGGTTCGCTGTCTGTTCTGAGGCTGTCTCAGGTTCCCCCCTTGCGACGTTCCCCCGGGACCCGGTGTCCGGTCTGTTTACCCTACACACCGCTTCCCCCCCGGTTGGTGCGTCCTCCCAGGTCGCTGCAGCTTGCTCGTGTCGGTCCCTCACTCACCCCTCCCTTCTCTGGCACCACCGCTTAGGTCACCCTGCTCTCCCGCGTCTGCGTCACATGTCCCAGCACGGTCTTGTCTTAGGTCTCCCCGCGTCGCTCCCTGCCCTTCCTCCCTCGACTGCGCCACCGTGCACGCCTTGCGTCGAGGGTCGGCTCCGCCGTGCTCCTCACTCCTCCTCGCTGCGTCCTGCTACTGCCCCCCTTCAGACCCTGCACTTGGACGTTTGGGGCCCTGCCCCCGTCCCCGGACCGCGCGGTGAGCGCTACTTCCTTGTGCTCGTTGACGACTACACGCGCTACACCACGGTGTTTCCCCTGGAGCGGAAGGCCGACGTGCCCGACGTTCTTCTCCCGTGGGTTGTAGCTGCGCGTCTCCACCGCGGTCTCCCCGTGTTGTGTCTCCACTCCGACCGTGGCGGCGAGTTCGCCTCTGGTCGGCTTGGACAGTTCTGTCGTGCGGAGGGCATCACCCAGTCGTACACGTTGCCGGACTCGCCACAGCAGAATGGGGTTGCTGAGCGCCGCATCGGCTTGGTCATGGAGGTCGCCCGTACCTCCATGATCCATGCCGATGCCCCCCATTTTCTGTGGCCGTTCGCTGTTCGCTACGCGGCTCACCAGCTTAACCTGTGGCCACGCTCCCAGCGGCCGCAGGTTTCGCCGACCCTCCTTTGGACCGGGTCCCCCGGTGACGCGTCTGCGTTCCACGTATGGGGCTGCCTTGCTCACGTTCGTGCCTCTGGCACGGACAAGCTCACTGCCCGCACTGTCCCCTGTGTCTTCCTCGGTTTCCCCTTGGACTCGTCTGACTGGCTTTTCTACCACCCGCCGTCTCACCGCTTCCTCCACTCTCGTGACGTCACCTTTGACGAGTCCGTCTCCTTCTACCGCCGCTTCCCTCACCGAGGTCTCCCAGTTGCCCCCCCCCTTTTCCTTGCTCCCTCTCCCCCGGTAGCCCCTGCCCCTCTCCCGCCTCGTCCTGCCCCGTCTGGTGTCTCCCACGTCACTCCCCTCCCGTCGGTTGTCCCCGTTGAGGAGTCTGCTGACTCTGGTGGTACCCCCGGTCCGTCCTTGCCGCGTCCCCCTTCCCCGGTGCCTCCGCCCCCACTGTCGCAGTCGCCGACCCCGCTGCCGCCGCCGTCGCCGTCGCCGCCGCAGCCGTCGCCGCTGTCGCCGCCACTGCCGCCGCTGCTCTCGGCCCCTGGGGGTGCTGGTGTGGAGGAGGGTGTTCGTCCTGCGGCTTCTGGGGGTGCCGCTGGTGTTGGAGGGGGTTCTCGCTCTTGGGGTGTTGGTTCTGGGGGTGCTGCTGTTGAGTGTTCTGCCGACGGTCGTTCTGCCTCTGCTGGTCCGAGAGTTCCGGCCCAGCCGTCGTCGCCGCCACAGCAGCCGTCGCCGCCGGTTTCCGCTCTCCGCCTGCTCGGCCTTCCCTCCCCGGACCGCGCGCCGGTGTCTCCCCCACCGCCTCCTGACCTCCCTGTCTACGGTCCTGTGTTCCCGCCGCCAGACTCGTCTCCGGCCCGTCTTCCTCCTCGTTCCCCTCCTGTGTCTCCTCCGCTGTCCCCTGACCCTACCCCTCCGTCTCACGTTTGGGCTCGCCGTCCCTCCCGTGCTCGTCCCGTCTCTCCTGTCCTGCCCACCCACCCTATGTTGCTCCGTTCCCACTCGTCTCGTCCTCCCCTCCTCCCGTCCCCTCCTCCCTCGTCCCTTGCTGTTGCACCTCCTCCGTTCTCTGACTACCTCCGTGCTGCTCGTCCCCTTGTCCCTCGGGTCCTTGCCTCTCTTGTTACCGACCCTGCTGTTCCTGTCTCGCGCCTTGACACGCTTGTCGCTGCTGTCGCTGACTTCGCTTCTACCCGCCGCCTTGACTACGCTACCGCTCTGGTCTCTGACCCTGCCCGTCCTCTGTCCGTCGGGGGTGCTCCTGCCCTTGGCAGTGACGTCCTAGAGGACAGGCAGTACGAGCTTGCTTTCCTTTCCGAGGCTGCTCCCCATCTCTGCTCCATGCTGTTAGTCCCTGAGGGTGACCCAGACGCCTTCGACATCCCGACCCCTCGCACCTACGCTGAGGCCACCTCGGGACCTTGGGCCTCTCAGTGGATAGCTGCCATGGAGCAGGAGATGGCATCTTGGAGATCCACCGGCACTTACGTCGACGCAGTTCCCCCGCCTGGGGTGAACGTAGTCGATGGTCGGTGGCTCTTCAAGGTGAAGCGCCCCCCTGGAGAGCCGCCTGTCTTCAAGGCGCGCTACGTGGCCAGAGGTTTCAGTCAGCGCGAGGGGGTTGACTTCTTCCAGACCTTCGCCCCGACCCCGAAGATGACCACTCTTCGGGCGCTGCTACACGTAGCAGCACAGCGTGACTACGAGCTTCACTCTCTCGACTTCTCTACTGCCTTTCTTCAGGGCAGCCTACACGAGCAGGTCTACCTGCGCCGACCACAGGGCTTCACTGGTACCTTCCCTCCTGGGACCCAGTGGCTTCTCAGGCGCCCGGTCTACGGCCTGCGTCAGGCTCCCCGCGAGTGGCACGACACGCTACGTGCCACGTTAGCAGACCTGCAGTTCTTTCCGTCCTCTGCTGACCCTTCACTGTTTGTGCGTTCCGGCCAGACTCCGTTCTACATCCTTGTCTACGTAGACGACCTGGTCTTCGCTACTCCTGACAGGGACGCACTGGCCTCTGTGAAGGCTGAGCTGCTGAAGAGACACACCTGCACTGACCTTGGAGAGCTGCGTCGCTATCTTGGCCTGCAGATCTCTAGGGACAGAGCAGCACGCACCATCACTCTGACCCAGTCACACTTGGTGCGTCAGGTCCTTCAGAGGTTCGGTCTTCAGTTCTCCTCCGCACAGCCCACACCTCTACCCGTAGACCATGGGCTCTCTGCTCCCGTTCCTGAGGAGCCAGTAGAGCCCAGTGGCCCCTACGCAGAGCTGGTGGGTTGCCTCATGTACCTGATGACTTGCACTCGCCCAGATCTCGCATACCCTCTCAGCATCCTGGCTCGCTTTGTGGCTACAGGCAGACACCGACCTCAGCACTGGTCTGCCGCTAAGAGGGTTTTGCGTTATCTTGCTAGTACATCAGGCATGGGGTTAGTGCTAGGAGGACGCAGGCCAGTGGTCCTTACTGGGCACACAGACGCTTCTTGGGCAGACGACGCTGAGACGCTCAGGTCGTCGCAGGGCTACTGTTTCAGCCTTGGTTCGGGTGCTATCTCTTGGAGATCCACTCGCTCGTCGTCTGTGGCTCAGTCTAGCTGTGAGGCTGAGATCTACGCTGGTGCCATGGCGGCACAGGAGCTCCGCTGGCTGACCTTCTTGCTCACAGACTTAGGTGAGCGGCCTAGCTCTGCCCTGGTCCTGTACGCTGACAACAGGGCCATGATACTCCTGTGTCAGGAGCCTCGGCTTGAGGGCAGAGCGAAGCATATCCAGCTGCGGTACTTCCTCCTGCGCGAGCTACAGCAGCGCCGCCAGGCCCGCGTAGTTCACTTGGCCTCAGGTGCCAACACAGCTGATATCTTTACTAAGGCGCTTGCGCCTAAAGATCATCAGCGGCACTGTGTACAGCTTGGTCTTGTTCCTATAGCTGCTCCCCTGTTAGGATCCTGATTGTGTACTCTCTATTATATATGCTTGTCAGACTGGCCTTGTGGCCTTACCTCCAGTGGCTGGACTAGTAGTGCCACCCTGGCTTGCTTCAGTTTTGGTTGTATTCTTGCTGACTGGTCTCCAGACCCCTGCCTCAGTGGTTGGACTAGTAGTGCCGCCCTGAGCTGTTTGCTTCTTGTTTAGTTTCACCCCTTGTCTAGCCTAGGGGGTGTGTCAACTTATACATATTATCTATGTAGAAGTTATAGGCTAGACTGAGGTATGCTTCTAGTGAGTACAACCAACTAGTATTTGTTCTAGGTTTCCACCTCTAGTAATCATTCGTTTCTACGTTAACACTTTCTGGCCGTGATCGGTAAGCTGTCATTCCAGAATACGGAAGACGGAATGCGGAATCCGCTGCGAGCTTTCTGTATTCCGTGTGTTGACTCGCCAGGTTGGGTAGTGCGAGAAGTTGGTCAGGTTTATGGGCTAAATTGCGTGATGTAACTGACGCGTCTGAGCTGGCAAATCTCCAAACTTGCCCGCCACGATCTGGGTCACGAAAAACGAGGGATTCTTGCATTTTTTTTCTGGGTTGCGGAGCAACCTATTGCAATCGATCAGGCTGGTTTTTTTTTTTTTTTTTTTTTTTTTTTTTTTTTTAAGTTTGTGAAATAAAAATTAAATGCTTTTTGTGATGGAAATAAAACATTTTATGTATAATGAAGTCTCATCATGAAATGCTCCGCAACCCTAAGACGATCTCGTCGCCTCTTGTTTTTTTTTTTTTTTTAGGGCCCTGCATCTGGCTGGATATCGAAATGCGACCCTGAATTTGTTTTCTTGGCGGTCAGACACATGCTGGTAGTGGGTATTCGACGTTTTCCGTTTCCGAAATAAGGGCATCCGTTATTTCGTTTGGATTGCCCCACTCTTCACTATTCCCAGCTATTCTTGCAAAAGAGCTGGAATTCACATCGACCGGCGGTTGGCACGATTTCGCCCGAGTCAGCACCTAGGGTGCCCTTTCCTCATTCCGTATTCCAACCTTCGTTATTCCCGTGATCGGTACACACCTCTATTCCATGAGGTTTGGTGTGATTAAAAAGATTGGTTGGCTTTAAGCCTATTCCGAGCCAGCCCTGAGAAATTGCTCGACACCATCCGTATTCTGGAATAACGGCTTACTGATCACGGCCTTTGTACACGCCCGTTCAGTACCGCCCTGATCGGTTGGCCATATTCTGGAATGCGGATGGTGTCGGGCAATTTCTCAGGGCTAGCTCGGAATAGGGTTAAAGCCAACCAATCTTTTTAATCACACCAAACCTCATGGAATAGAGGTGCGTACCGATCACCAGAATAAGGAAGGCTGGAATAAGGCATGAGGAAAGGGCACCTAGCTGCAGACTCGGGCGAAATCGTGCCAACAGCCAGTCGATGTGAATTCCAGCTTTTTTGCAGGAATAGCTGGGAATAGTGAAGAGTGGGGCAATCTGTTAAATTATATATTGTGTTATATAATTGTTAGGCTTGGTAGGTTACCGAACTATACTGTAGAGGGTACAATCCCCTCCTTGTATCCTTCTCTCTTTCTAGTTCTCACTCTTTTCTCTCTCAAATTTCCTAGCACCTAAAACCTCGCCATTTCCATGGCTCCTCCTACTCCTAGCTAGAACCTTTCTAGCTCTCCTAATATGGTATCAGAGTGGGTCCCCCCTCCCGGGCTTGCTCCCCACGCTTCCGCCGCGTACTCCTTTCACTCGCGCGCTGCCATGGCGGCTGCGTCGAGCTGCTGTGGCGGCGTCGTCGTGCCGCGGGCCACGTTGTGCCGCGGCCGTCTCGACGCGCTGCCGTGGCGTCGACGCCGCTCTGTAACGACGTCGTCGCCGCGCGACGCTTGTGGCGCCGCTAGATCTGCCGTCCCACCAGTAAGCGTCGCGCGCGTCGCTAAAGACCCGCCCTCCCCCCATTTTCCCCTCCTCTGCCTTGCCATCTCCTCCTCGCTAGAGCTATCGCCTGACTTGCGGGGGTCCTCACCGTCGTTGAGACTGGACACGCCGTAGCCATCTCACGGGCCGTGGGATTGGCCCCACTGGTGTAGTCGTGGCTGCTGCTTGAGAATGGGGGTGCTAGGTTAGGGGGTGTGGGTGTGTGTGGGCTTGCCACTACCAAGCCTAGGGGGTGTGTTAAATTATATATTGTGTTATATAATTGTTATGCTTGGTAAGTTACCGGACTATACTGTAGAGGGTACAATCCCCTCCTTGTATCCTTCTCTCTTTCTAGTTCTCACTCTTTTCTCTCTCAACTTTCCTAGCACCTAAAACCTCGCCATTTCCATGGCTCCTCCTACTCCTAGCTAGAACCTTTCTAGCTCTCCTAACACAATCCAGACGCAATAAAGAATGCCCTTATTTCGGAGATGGGAAACGTCGAATACCCGCTACCAGCATGTGTCTGACCGCCAAGAAAACAAATTCAGGGTCGCATTTCGATATCAAGCCAGATGCAGGGCCCTAGACAAAACAAAATGCAAGAATCCCTTTTGTTTTTCGTGACCCATATCGTGGCGGGCAAGCTTGGAGATTTGCCAGCGCAGACGCGTCAGTTACATCACGCAATTTCGCACATACAGTGGCGGATTAAATTGCCCGGATGTTTAACACTTTGAAACGTATCGTTATGCAACACATGTTTCGAAAATAGTAACACCCGTTTTTTTCCATTCTGTTACTCGGTTTTTGAGTTCTGCTTCATCCGTTTCTTGCTTGGCGCGATTGTGACACTAACGGAAAGTGGGGTTGAAATTTACTACTCGACTGTCGATGTGGACATTTCCTACCGAGCGGAAGAGTAGATCTATTTTCCCCCGTCGCTCAGTGTGTACATCGTCACGCGCACCAGTTCCTAGCTTAGTTGTTAGTCCGGAAGCGAGCCTACGACCGCATCGCTATGAAGCCGTTAAATGAGAAGAAGCGCGCGAGGATCAGAAGCATGTTGCGTGCGGGGCATTCGACTAGGAAAATAGGGAAACTTCTTGGCATAGGCAAGAGCACCGTGCACGATTACGGTATGAAACTCGCTGAGGAGACTAGTCGCGAGGAGGTGCGACCTACGATGCCTTCGGCCGGCCGCCCCCGCTTAATCACAACCCGTCTCCAGCGCGGAGTTATACGTGCGATTACTAGCGGCGAGGCGAAAAGCTCTTCAGACGCGGCCAAGATGTTGTTGGAGAAGCACGATCTCGCCGTAGACTCGAAGACGGTCCGCAACTCTTTACGATCCGCGGGGCTGATCGCCGTGCATCAGCCCAAGAAACCCAGGCTCTCACCGAAAAACATCCGCGATCGTCTCGACTTCGCGCGGGCGCATGCCGACTGGACGCTGGAGGACTGGAAGCGGGTGATTTGGTCTGACGAGACGAAGATAAACCGCTACTGCTCCGACGGACGTGCGTACGCCTGGATTCGCGAGGGCACCAGCCTTCGGAGCCACCAAGTCCAACAGACAGTTAAGCATGGGGGCGGTTCTGTGATGGTGTGGGGTTGCATGACGTATGAGGGGGCGGGGTTCATGTGCAAGATAGATGGCAGGATGGATGGGCCGCTGTATCGCAGCATCTTGCAAGATGAGCTCAAACAGACCATCGATTTTTTCAAGCTTTCCCCCTCAGAGGTCATTTTCCAGCACGACAATGATCCCAAGCACAGGTCTCGTCTGGTCCAAGACTGGCTTGGGGAGCAGGAGTACGCGGTGCTGGAATGGCCGTCGTGCTCCCCGGACCTTAACCCAATTGAGCACCTGTGGGCATACTTGAAAAGGCAGCTGGGGAAGTACGAAAAGCCGCCAAGGGGAATGCTGGAGCTGTGGGAGAGGGTGCAGGAGGAATGGGACAAGATACCGCCGGAGGTGTGTGCAAACCTGATCGACAGCCTGCCGAGGAGGATCAAGGCAGTGATTCGGGCAAAGGGACGCTGGACTAGGTACTAGTTTTCCTAGAATCTAGTGTGATACCATTTTCCGGTACAAATTGTCCACATGTTCTCCCATGCTATGCTTAGGAGTTTAAGGACCATGTGTGGTACTACTTTGGTGTTTGAACACTGGAGTGACTGCTCTAACTGAACTTCTCAGCGTTAATGCACACCGTACATTAAGGCTTAATGTATACGCCTCTGCACTCATAAAAATGCCAAAAAAGGCAAAACATGTGGACAATTTAATCCGCCACTGTAAACCAGCCCAACTTCTCGCACTACCTAACATGGCGAGTCAACGCACGGAATACAGAAAGCTCGCAGCGGATTCTGTATTCCATATTCTTTATTCTGGAATCACGGCTTACCGATCATGGCCTACATTTCGGTTCAAGGTCTACCTGTACAGGACATTACCATTCGTGCAACTTTGATCAATCTAGTTCAGTTTCGTACGAAATTGCACAAATGGTAATGTTCTGCACAGGTAGACCCTGAACCGAAATGTACAGAATGGGCTGTAACAGAACGGTCATGTACAGAAGGGCCGTGAACAGAGTCGGAAATCTCAAAAATTCACTCTTGTACACCTTGAGCCGGTAGACAGAGGAACACAACTTTTCAGGGTGCCGGTAGACTAAAACGCGCAGGGGTTTCGTACGGCATCGTCACGGGCATGTGGGTCTTGAGCACGGGCACGAAGGTTACCATTTTTATGTTTTGCGGGGTAGGTTTGAGTGGCATATTTTGGCGAGCCATTGTTCACTTAGTTACCCTATGTTAATTTTTGGTGTATTCAAGCGAGAGTGAGATTTCTAGTGTAGCACCAGAGTGGTGGTTGGCGGGTGAGATGTTGAGTGAGTTTCTCTGGTTTGGTTTGCTCCCTTTTATACTCAGTGAAAAGTGGCGGGGGTTTGGAGTCGCATTTCAGTTCTAAACGTTATCAGCGTGTTCTAAAGATTTCATACATTACGAATTGAAGGTTCTTGTCGCAACAATAACTGCTGTGTGGATTGTGGGAATTCGTTTTCGAGTCTGTTCCTGGGTTGGCTGTCGAAATTTGAGAACGACCCCTGGCATCGGGACATCGTGACCCCATTTCGTTGCCAAGTCAGCATTCGGTTTCACGGGGCGATGCTCAAGACACAAACAAACCCAGCGAGGCGGAGCTCAACGAAAGGCTCGCTGAGCTTCGCCGGAGAGCTATTCCGAGCGCGGCTGGAAGTTTGTGGCGAAAATGGTTGCGGTGCACATCTTTCGTCTTGTGCCGCATGTTTGTCACCGCGGTCATGATGACGCTGCACTGCTGGCTCTGTTCACGGCCCACGTTGAGTGGGCCATTGCCCGTATGACAACGCTAATGGGCGATGG